TTAGATATTTTACTAATAAAGCAACTCTCATACCAGCACATTTCTTCCCTTCTCCCTATCAGGATTTAATTATTGTCCTGCCTGTGATTCGTGTGAATAAAAACCAGAAGGCTAATGGTTTTCTCAATTAAAGTGTGTTCAACTCATCTTTCTGAACAAGTTTGTGACACTACTGATTTTGATTTGTTTTAAATAGTGCCATGTTAATGAAATCCTTATGCATACATAAATGAAATAGTTGAGAGGCTAACTTAATTGATTTAATAGCTCATGAAATCAGACACTTGTCTACTTTTCTTTTTTTTTCTTTCTTTCTTCCTCCTTCTGTATTAAGATCCTTGATGATGATGCAGCTCAGGAGTTGATGCCGGTGGTGGCAGGGGCTGTGTTCACCTTGACTGCTCACTTGAGCCAGTCTGTGAAAACTGAGCAGAAACAGCCACTTGCACTCCCTGTGGCGGGACAGTCCCAATATGTCTTGATGCTGGATGGTTCTTTTACCTCATCACCTGGCTCTGAGAGTATATCCATGGGTTTTGCTTCCATTGGTGACTCCTCCCTCCATATCATCTTAAAAAAGCTGCTGGATTTCATTTTGAAAACAGGTGTGTTGACCTTTGCAGTGGTGTGTGGGAATTCCAACTTCCAAGAGTAAAAAGATGGGCTGAGCTGCTTCCTGTTACTGCAGTGAAGATTTTTATTACAATCAATTATATGATTAATATAGATCTAATTGATGTTACTAATAAGAAAAAAATTAATAAAGCCATGTTATTTTTTAAATCTGAACAAGTAGAAGAGAGATGTGTAAATGACTGTAAAGGGAATTTCATATTGCCACTTTTTTGGAGCAGCATAAACTTGCTGAATTTACTCATAAATACACTTTTATGCAAACAGTAGAACTCTGAATTGAATCTAGTTGTTTTATTTATTTCTGCCAGCACTACTATAAGAAAGTTGAATTAAGTGCCAGTGGAAACTGGTGTCATGGAATTTACATCTATTTGTTTTTAATTGTGAATGTTTCTTATTAACAGGTGGTGGCTTCCAGAGAGTGAGGACACACCTTTATGGATCACTGCTTTATTATTTGCAGATTGCCCAGAGACCAGATGAACCAGACACTTTAGAAGCAGGTATGGTCCAACTGTATTATGGAAAAGAGCAAAAAAAAAAAAAAAAAAAAAAAAAAAATTGTTATTAAACCCTGAATGGTACAGTTTCTACATGCTGAGTTGTCTTCTGACAATAGATTATGTAGATAGAATACTTACTCCAAGAGCCTCAGAAATTAGCTGCTTATGCTAAATGATGCAAATCTTCCTCTATTCTGACCTGTCTAGCTCCGTATGTGTTCAAATGTATTGTTCTGGATGAAGCTATTAAATTTCTGACCGCCAGCACTAAAGAAGATATTTAATTTGTGTTCATTTAAAGCTATGTATCACAGCTACAAAATTGTCAAAGAACTGGAGATTACTTGTAACTACCTGTCCTCAAGTAGGTCCAACTGTAGAAATATATTGCCTCCACATCTGTATGTACACTCATACCACAATGATCCTATTTTAAAAAAAAAAAAACAAAACCAAAACAAAACCCGAAGATTATTTTATACTCTTTCTGTTCCTTTAGCTGAAGACTCCTGGGGGAAAACAAACAAACAAAAAAGCATCACCCCCACCCCCCAAAAAATAAGCAAAAAATAAGCCAACCAGAATTGCTGCTTAAACAAGAGAGCTTATGGTAAATATCACATTCTCTCTGTTAATGGCTTAAAAACTTGATTATTCTATGTTTCTAAACATTATTTCATCTTAGACCTTGGACAAGGACTGAAAAACAAACTTGGGGCTAGTACCTGTGTGTGCAGACTCTTACTGCTCAGCATTTTGAGGTACAGTAGTAAAAACCAAAACAAAACCACATGAATTTGTTATGACCCCACTGTAGTTTATTACTGGCTTTGGATTCAGCCCTTTCCCACTTAAGTCACCTTGTTTACTTCCCTCAAACTGAGTGTCTTGGTCCCAGTGAAAGTTCTTAGGCCTAATAGATATTGTTACATGTACTGAATCTTAGAATTATTTTAAGCATACTGTTTACAAGGGTGGTGTACGTATACAGGCACACACCATTTTTTTTGTCCTGACTGACCTGTGTGAGATATTCAGGAAAGAATGGATTTGTAGGAAAACATTTGCGCTTCATTAAAAAGAACTCCACCCTATCCACTGTTTGGGGCATTTCTGTTGCAAGGTAGAGAGAATGCCTCGAAGGATGCAGCCTCAGCTGTACTGTAGCTAAGCTAATGCTAAGCTGCCCATCTTCGCATTTTTCATTTTTTGTTTTATTTGCTTTTTTGCAGCTAAAAAAACGATGTGGGAACGTCTGACAGCTCCTGAAGATGTGTTTAGTAAATTGCAACGAGAAAACATGGCAATCATTGAGAGTTACGGGGCAGCTCTCATGGAGGTTGTCTGTCGGGATGCTTGTGATGGTCATGAGATAGGCCGGGTAAATAAATACTCCTTTGCAATCACTGTTCTGTATGTTTTAAAGAACGTTTTACTACTGTGCAGCAAGGTAGAACTGGAACATTTTTTGTGGATACTTAATCTCTTCCACGTTTCTGTCCTCCCACTCATCCTTCAAGCTGTTGAAAGTAGGGGCATACATGCATATTAATTTTTGTCTCAAAAAAGCTATGTGTCTTGTTTTAAAAACAAGGGTAGCAAGCACTGCAAAAGATCGTAGGTACGAACTGCTGTGGCATTTATTTGTTAGTATTTGTTAGATTTAAAATCATGGACTTACTGGTTTATTTTCTCACTTTGAGAAGATTTGGTGATTTCAGGAAGAAATAATTTCTGATAATAACTTCAGTAGACAGGAATATAGTCAGAATGCAAACTAGTTTTAAATTGTAATAGTGCTTGTAACAATACTTCATGAGCATATTTTGACATAGTTACTGGTCAACAATATCTGTAATATTTTGTTAAAGAATAATAGAAGAAAAGGTAATTGGCCCATACTATACTAAAACATCAAGAAATCTTAAAATATTTTTCACATTAAGGATTGCAATTGTAGTGCAGAAACGCATTCTGCTTTTAAGAAGCTGTTAGAAGCAACTGCTTAGCATTTCATATTTCTATGTATTTGTTAAAAATCTCATTGGTCTCACACATTTAATTCTGTTTTGATGTTTCTTTTTGTTTGTTTGTTTGCTTGGTTTTTTTCTTCCCCTCATCCCAGATGCTGGCATTGGCTTTGCTCGATCGTATTGTTTCGGTAGACAAGCAGCAGCAGTGGCTGTTGTATCTCTCCAATAGTGGCTACCTGAAGGTGCTTGTGGATAGCCTAGCAGATGATGATCTGACTCTTCAGAGCTTGCTCACACCTCAGCCTCCTTTACTTAAAGCGCTGTACACCTATGAGTCCAAAATGGTAACAGTACTTCAGAAACAATTTTGTGGTATGGTGTGGGTTTTTTCCTTTTAAAAAAAAAGAGGTGTTTGTCTATACTTCACATTAATTGTACTCAGAGATATTTTACCAAAATAATAGTATTTGAAATGATGCTAAAATCAAGAGAGAAAGTAGTTGTCATAAGTCTCATTGTGCATCTCCAATACTTCTCCTTCTTTACTCTTCCCTAGGCATTCCTCACTAGAGTAGCTAAAAGTCAGCAAGGGTCGCTAGAGCTGTTGCGGTCTGGAGTGATTGTGAGGCTGGCACAGTGTCAAGTGTATGACATGCGACCCGAAACAGACCATCAGGGGTAAGTGTTGGTTCCCCAGCTGATTTTGAAACTGTAATATAGTCTTGGAAGCATATGATGTCTTTTTATAGCCACAAGACTTTTAAGTAATGATTTGTGCATTTATTCGTTTTGTGTGTGTGTGTGCATTTCTTTAGCTTATCAGTTCAGTTTAAAAGTACCTCTTTACTGAGAGAAAAATTCCAAATAAGTGGGTCTGAAGTTGTACTTGAATGCTCAGTTACTTAGACTATGTAAAAACATATTTGTTTGATACCTTAGATAGGAATGGTCTATGTATTACTATTATTATTAAATAGTTTAGACTGTAATGTTTGAAAAACAACCTACACTGTAAACTTATTTTGGGGGCTTTGCAGTTGGTGAACAAAAAGTGCAGAGTTCGTCCTCCCCTATAAAGCACTAATGAGAGAGCAGTGAAGTAAATGTTATTTCAGAAATATTTTATGATGTGTTTAAAAACAATAATTAAATTTCACAGTTATATATTGCTTGACAAGTTTCTTGATGTCTTGCTGTGTTGTTAGTCATTGTGAGATGACTGAGAGAAGATCTCAGCGAAGGAAATTGCATAAAGGAAATCACCCTGGTTGATTTCAAACCTCGGTCCTTGCTTTAAGTTTGTGGTTCTTAGTGTCATACTGGAGGTTCAAACACTTTGACACTTTTAAACAGAGTATTTGTCTAAGTCTTGATTTTTTCCAGTGAGGTTTAAGATTGTATGAAATCTACAGGGCATTTGTACAGGACAGTATTTATCAGTTACTTTAGAATTAAGCACACCTCTTCCCACAATATTTGAGAATATTTAGTTTTATATATAAGTAAAGAAAACAGATGTCATATTTCTATGACAAAATAATCTGATTTAATGCAGTATAGTACAAAGAAGTAATTTTCTCTGCTTAGAAAAAATGTCTGGCAGCAGCTTTCTAGGTAAATTGCAGCAGCTGTGTATTATAAATGTTTTGCTTTTCCAATATAAACTCAGTTCAAGTACAGACCTATTATTGGAATATGAATGTTTGAAGATTCTTGAGGGTGATTGTAGGCTGAGGCTCTGCCTTGATAGTACTCTTCACTTTTCTTGCACTGTTTATATTTTTTCTTTCTTCTTTTTAAACCTCTTAAGAATGTATGGAATGAGAGATCCCCCAGTCTTCATTACGTTATCGCCAGATTCTTCTTCCAGCTCTTCAGCTGTGCCAAGTGATCCTCACATCCAGCATGGCACAACACCTGCAAGCAGCAGGACAGGTAAGTTCCCAAAGGAGTTCCAAAGTATCACTGCTACTGCTCATTCAAAGAAATTCTGTTTCCTTTTGCTCTGAAAGTAACCTTTTTTCAAAAAAGTAAAAGCATTGCTTCCTCTCTGCTCGCTGCTAAATTGAGTCATTCGTATTTTCCCTTTTCTTCTTGTGGTACAGGTTCTGCAGTTTCTAATTTCACATTCAGATACTATCCAGGCAATCCTGAGGTGTCAAGATGTTAGTGTTGGATCTCTCCAGGAGCTGGCCTCCCTGACAGGAATAATCAGCAAGGCAGCTTTGCCTGGTAGGAACTGCAGTTCTGAAATCTCTTACCCCATCTGCACGAATCTCAGATCTTGTTTTCTTTAAAGAAATAGTAAGACATATAAGGAAGTATCTACTACAATACAGAATTTTCTTGACATGTAGAGCTCTGGGAAAAATAAAGAAATGTTAAATAATTGTTTTTGAAATAAGTATGGTGGATTTGCAGTGGACATAGTGCCCTTACCAATATGCGTTTGACTTCCCATTTTCTTTTCATTATGCTACCTGACAGTAAGTAGTTTTTTTTCTTTGAGTTGACTTGCAAATAGTAGTGTTCAAAGTGCATGTGGTATCTTCAAAAATAATTTCCATTTAGCAAATTCTGTGACTGAAGAAGACAGAAAATTGCATACCTATATCTCTGTTAATGTCTTCTCCATTTTTATTTACTTAAAAAAGAAAGCTTCCGGGGAGAACAACTGTGGATTAGCATACTGACATTTTTCTTGGGTGACTTATCTTCACAGAGGACTAATAAATATTGTGATGAATATAGTGATTTTTTCTGCGTGCTAGAAGACTTGCTAACCATTTCAAAATAACTTCTCCATTTTGATTTAGTGGCTTTCTTTTGTTCAGGAGAGCTGTCTGACTACAATAGAAAAGAGTGCAGAGCTGTAGGTTTAGCCCAAATGTTTCTTTGCTTACAGTGTACTGAGCTTTGCACAACAGCTGCAATTTTCATGCTAACCTCTCTTCCTGCCCCCCCCCCCCACTTTTTCATTACTTAGTAGAACAGTAAGCTACAGGCTCTCATGCATCTCCTAGTAGCTGCATTCATATCTGAATGTTTTCCTCAATCAATGTGCAAAATATGTATGTTTGGCTGAAATATCTGATCAGTGCTTATATTTAAATGTATATACTGCATACATCTGTTTTCTTTTGAAAAAAAAAAAAAACAAACAACAACCCTCCACAAAAAAAACTCAAAACAGTTAATTCAATGGCTGTATCTTTTATCAGGAGTGCTAAATGAGCTGGATGTTGATGTTAATGAAGGAACGCAGATGGAGCTACAAGGACATATAGGCCGATTTCAGGTAATAAAGTTATATATATAACACTCCTCCTTTTAGAATTGTGTATGTAGATGAGGTTTTTTTCTTGTTTTTTTTCTCTTGACTAGTAGCAGTTATGAAAGGGATGTTTTCCATCATTAAGAAGAATGTGTGGTGTGTTTTGGTTTTGTGTTGTTTTTGGTTTTTTTGTTTTGTTTTTTTTTTGTGGTACATGTGGTTTTGGTGTTTTGTTTTTCTGGGTTGGTTTGGTTTGTTGGTTGTTTTGTTGTGGTTTGGTTTTTTGGTTTTTTTTCTCAACCAAGTAGAAAAGATAACATTTGGCAACATCAGGGTTGCATCAGGGACTTTGTTTCCCTACCTGGCTTAGGATTCACCTTCTATGGAGAAGAATTTGAGCATGTGAAGTAATGCAGAAATACTCTGTTGCTACTTTTGCTACAAGCACGTCTTCACCTCAACAATTTGGAGTATCAAACATGCTAGTGTTTTGTGACTTTCCTCCCCTTTTAAAAATAATTCTGACTTAGAAACCAGAATGAAAGCCAAGACAGAGTAAATCTTGCTCAAAAGCTATTATTGCAGACCTCTTTACAGCTCAGCATTCAGCATCCTGCAGTGTTTTTGAAGCTTTGTGGTTCCTGTGAGCAAAGACTTTCATAAAGAAATATTTCATTGAAAACTATCTGTAGATAGGGCTGTCCTATCAAATGCTTCTGGTTGCAAGAGAAGGATGTGTTCTCTGGACACTTTGATAGTAACTATTAGGCTGACAAGCCTGAAGCAAAGTAGCAAGCTGTAAATGATTGCTGTAATGCTGGGTTCTCAGAATTCTGCTGCATCATGTCAGCAAGAAATTTCCATGGGAAAGCAGAAAGTTTGTTGTGTTTGTTTTTTTTTTTTTTTATTATTATAAGGAGTTTTAATTAGTTAATTTGAAAACTGAGCTGTTCTGAGCAAAACTGTGCAAATCAGTCATCTGTTATTTTAACTTTTCTCTCTAGTTTGTCCTGTTATTTTCATCAAGTACTAAAAGGATTTGAGTGTTTTACTCTTCCCCAGAAGTAATTACCAAAAAATGTTTTATTGTTGAGAACGGGTTTTTTTGTTGTTTCACGCAAAACTGACTTACAGTCTGAGGCACTTTGACATTAATAGCCCCAGGCAAACTAAAAACAAATTTATTGTTACTTCTTTTTAGGAAGCTATTGAATTGGTTTTTGCACTCTACTTTTATGGAGCTTATTATCTTCATATCCAGATTTTGTTAGTTTGCCTATATAGGTAAAAGTGTTTTAAGCGGGAATGGGTAAACCTAAACTGTCACTGTCTTACGTCTCTTCCAAACTCTTATACTGACTAGCATCACAGTTGTGCACTTTTGAATTGCATTTATTTCTCAAGGTACTGCTTTAGGGTGCCATTAGTTTTTAAATTAATTAAAGGTGAGTTAAAACATCGTGTTTTAAAAATTTAAATTTTGTTTACAAAGTGCTAAAAGTACTTGCTATTGTGTTTTAAGGGATTTTCATCACTTAAGTGAAAAGAATCATGCACTTCATTTGTTGAGATACTAATGAAAATGCTCATTTCTTATGGCAGCGCCAGTGCTTAGGACTTCTAAGTCGGTTTGGTGGTTCAGACAGACTACGTCAGTTTAAATTGCAAGATGATAATGCAGAGGGAGACAGAGTGAACAAGAGGGATGAAACTGAGTTGGCCATGCAACAGGTAAGGACGGGAGAAGCTGCTAGAACCTTCAGTCTCAAATTGTGACATTTTACCTGCTGTGCAGACTTGTTTAGTTGTCATACTTTCATATGATAGTGGTAATGCTCTACACTATTTTTAGTTTGGTATAGGATCCCACATTTTATTTCTAGTTAAAGTAAACCTTGAAAATTTGGTTATTTAAATTTCCTTTAGCAGCCATTATTGTTTTGGGTACAAACTCTGAACTTCAAAGCCTTAAATTGATGAGAAATTTTCAAAGTGAAGGCTAGGTATAGAGGGCAATGGCTAACATTAAGTTAGAACCAAAGGGGACTTAGAATTGACCAGAATTTTTAGCTAACGGGTTTGGAAAAGAGGCAAGGTTGCAAGTCCTAGACTTGAAATAGAAGAGAGGCTGTTACTGATCAGAAAAGAGAATCATCACATTCTGGTGAGAAGAGAGGGAGCAAAACATGTGGTTTACTGACATTTATCCATTTTAAATTTAATGCTCTAAAGCCTGTAGGTATTGTAACTGACATGCTGTAATTTTTTTTTTATTTTTTCGGCAGATCTGTGCAAATGTGATGGAATACTGTGAGTCACTTATGCTGCAAAGCGCCCCCAGTTTTCAGCACGCTGTTTGTCTGTTTACTCCAAGCTTGTCAGAATCAACCAACCGAGATGGGCCTCGTCAGGGTGAGATTTTTGGCTTGCTATTTTATGAGGCTGAATGGTGTGACATTTGGGCGAGTAGAAAATAATGAACCAGAGGCTGTAGTTTCACATGAACTTTAAGTCACTTTATGCCAATACTGTAGCTGCCCATTTTCTAATTCTGGAACACATGTTTGCGCAGCCTTGCACTAAGCCAAATCAGGAAACTAATACAAGTTAAAACAAATGTGACCAAAAAATCCTTTTTTAATTTACTTTCCATGGCAGCCTCAGAAACACATGTATCTGTTAAAAAAATAAAAAGTGTATGTCAATAAGTAGCACAAGACAGGGGAAGAGGAGGATTTCTTTTTTTCAGTGTCTGTGCTGGATTACAGTGTGTGAAACAAGGTCCTAATTTGTGACATGTAAGATGTGTTTTGATGCTGCCTGAAACTCTTCATTATGCCACATGGCAAGAGTTTACAGTCTGCCACTATGCAGCTGAGTGGTTAAAATATTTAAATAGTAGGTCTTCTGGTCTAGTTACATTTCATGTGTTACACTCAGTACCGTACTATGGTGACTGCCTTCTAGTACTGCAGCCACAGAACTTTTTGCCTAGTCTTTCATTTGTATTACTTCTGACGCAGAAGTATAAAACATAAACTTGCCAGTGCTTTCACATCTCTCACTACTTTATTGACAGAGACCATACCTTATTGATTTCTTGTTCTTTTTTTCTTCTTTTTTTTTTTTTTTTTAATGTATTATAACTTGTTCATCATCTTTTCTAGATACACAAGCACCAGTGGTCCCATACTGGCACTTGCCTGGCTTGGGCATTATCGTCTACCTGCTGAAACAGAGCACGAGTGATTTCTTCAGTTACTATGATAGCCATCGTCAGAGTGTTAACAAACTGCAAAACGTGGAGCAACTGCCACCAGATGAAATAAAAGAGGTAATAGGTCTTCTGACTCTGTAGTTTCTGTATTGTTTGTAACTTAGACATAGCTGTAACAGAGACTCCAAAGCATCTTATCTAAGTAAATACTTCCAGTTTTTGTGCATATTCCCTTCTGCTGTTGATGAAGGTGTCCATAGAATGAGTGACCTAAAACTTTGGGGAAAATATTTGGCTTAACTCTGTAAAAGTTGTGATTTTCATTAGAGTTGCTTGGGGATACGTTTAACTTCTCCATGTTTTGGTCAGCAAGGTTATGCAAATTCAAAATAGAGAGCACAGTTTTGAAGAAATAGTAGCTGATAAGGAAGCTCTAGATATTGATAAGTTATTTTATTTGCTTATTTCTTTTGATGCTCTGTGATTTCCTACAATCTTCTTGTTTTTCCTCTTCTTATCACAGCTGTGTCAGTCAGTTATGCCAGCTGGGGTTGACAAAATCTCCACTTCCCAAAAATACGTTTTGGCAAGGCGACGCCTGGTGAAGCTAATAAACAACCGAGCCAAGCTCCTTTCCCTCTGTTCTTGTATCCTTCTAAAATTGAAATGACCCTCACGGTGATGCTCCAGAAAAGCAGAGAAATAGGAACAGATTCTTTTTTACCTAGATTTCTGACCACATTGAACAATGGTCTTTTCAAAAAGGAAATTTGAAATACTGAAAATTAATTTAGTAAGAGGGTATTGTTCTGCCATTGTCAAAATATAAGTATTTTCAAGTTAGTAATTCCCATCATGGAGACCCTACTAAGACTTTGTGTAACATTATAATGGAGGAGTTACTGCAGCCTAGCTCTGCAATTCAGTATCCAGATCCACTAAACATTCACATATGTAAGTGCAGCGGAAGAAATATTTTGAAAAATAATTTTGAGGTGCTTATCAGAGCAACTGGAGTTTCCATTCTTACAGTCAACCTGCATAAACCTCATCTCAGAAACACCAGTAATCCTATGGAAATAACTAGTCATGCACAAAATAATTGTCTTCGGAGGATCAGAATTTTCCTCTGAAACCTACTTTGGGAAAGATGTGCTCTTGTAGACTTACCTGTTGTAATTTAAGGTGTTGCTGCCACCCCCAGCTTTACAACCTCACCTTTAATTCACTGTCCCTGCAACTGAGCTCTCATTATAAACCACATGAGCACTCATACTCCACTCTGGTCCAGAACTTTGGTTTAAAGCCTCTTCAGGGTGAGCAGCCGTCACTGAAGTAACCAAGCCAGCACTGCCCTGAAGCAGGTAAGGAGGGTGCAGGCGATCTGTTACCAGGCTGCAGCAGTGGGGCTCAGAAGCTTCTTCTGGAGGAGGTGACAGGTGTTGAGCTGCTTCAAAGTGTGTAAATATGCTCATATAGTAAATGTCCAATCTAAAGACAACAAAATTAGACTCCTTCACTTAGATGTGTCTACAGATATTATAGAAACGTGTCTCTTCATTCTCTGGCGTCATCTGGAACACTATCTACTGCATTGCACACCCACTGACTCCCAAGACCCCCTGCTGTCCTCCAGGATGTCATTTAAGAAAGGAAGGCTGCAAGGTAAAATTTCTCAAACGTCACAGTGCCTTTGAATAACTTCTGATGGTTTAACTTTAAAACTGATGTGCTACTATTAATAATTTTGCCATTTATATTTAATAAAAGAGATTTTGTTTGGATTTGGCATACCTTTGGATTTTCTGCTGGAGAATTGGCAATACAAATATTGTTGTCGTAGACTTTTGGGTTTTGTCTATTACACATAACCTCCAAAGGAAAGTAAAATTAACCTTTTTTTATTTCTGTTGTTCAAACCAAGTGAAGTTCAAGTAATGCAATCAGATCAGTGATTGAAAACAGTTTATAGGAAAATATTTCAATACAATAAAATGAAATGAAGAACTAAAGTTAATATTGGTGGTTTAAAAAGCATTTTTAGAATTGTAGGCAGCATTGATTCACCAGCAGATTTTAAGTTTGTTGAATTTTGTTTAAAAAAAAAAAATTAGGAATGGAAGGAAGTCAGAAAGGGAGAAGTGATCTTGGGAGAAGCGTTTTGCTTGAAGTGCCGTGTTGTGTGATCAAAATATTTATGGCTCTTAACATTTATTCTCTATATCATTTAATTAAAAAAAAGTGTGATTTCTATGCACAAGTTTACTGACCAATATGGAGCACTGCCTTTTAAACTCATTTTGTAACTTGATGTAGAGAAGGTAGTGTGGAGCAGCCAACATAATTTTAATGTCTCATTTTCTGTTGCTAGATTCCTTTGGTTCAGAGCCAAACTTGGATTTCAGTAGCGGACTGAATCGAGTGAGCCAGCACGATATAGAACAGGTGAGATGTGACAGCATGCTGAAAAGTATAGAACACACCTGATTACCACACAGCTATTAAGAGCAGTCTGACTGTAGTTTTCCCACCTCTGAACAACCTGTGGTAACACGAACAGGATATAACTTAGGATTAATGAAATGTTGCAAAATGTTTTTGTGAAGTATTATGAAGCAGGTAGCAGATGTGCTGCTGCACACACATTTTCAAGTTTTAATATAAAAAGTTAAATGAAAAATGAGCTAGACTTACAAATATAATTAATAATTCTGTTTCTCAGTCAAACAATATGTATTTTTTAAGAATAGTTTTCTGAAAACATCAGTTATTCTTGAAAAACTTGCAATATGGGGGCAGGATTCCCAATTTTCTGGGATCCTATAGCTGTTTACTACAGGTCAGCTGTAGCTAGGCTGTAGAGAAATGAGATCAAAAAGGGTAATAGAAACTGAGGAGACTATAAGATGTGAATGCTAGCAAAGAAGTGATTTCCGCTTACACAGTGATTTAATAGTTTGTGTAAATTTGATGCGGAGGTGGCAGAAAAAACAGGTCATTTTTATTAATAAATCCCACTGACATTTCTACTATTGTTTGTGCAGGAAAAAAAAACCCTGTTCTCAAAAAAACTATGCAGTCTCAAGTACCTTTATAAGATCTAGAATTGTAAGAACAGTTGTATGTGTGTTTTGTGATGAGACATCTTTTATTTCATTTGTTCGAAAGTAAAATATACAGTAACGTCTTGCTAAAATACTTAGAATGAAATTAATTTTTTTGGTGACTGATTACATATGCATTAATGAAAAAATGTCTATGCACATGGACTCTAATTCCTAAACAGTACTTAAAAGGACTAGGAAAACTTTAATTGGAAGAAGTGTTTGTGTGACTATAACTGAAGAAGCTGAATTATATAAGACTGTTTCATTCCTAAAACTTGGAGAGGTTTTAAGGTGGTAATACTTGGATAATCTAACCCAAAAACCTCTGTAGAAAGGCTATCCATTGTGTAATTTAGAGAGAGAAACATGAGGGCAGAATGCAAGTAGTACTTATTAGGGGAATCCGAAAAAACATACTTTTAAAAGTGGTTTAGAGAATAAATCATGGTAAAAGGGTTGACAGGTCGTTGATGATGGATTAGCAGACATTCCAGAAAGAGAAGATTATCTGTTGTTGACTGGAACAAATCTCTGTTTCTCAGCTTCAGATTGAAGCCACAAACAGCTTTGGTGAATCTCTGCAGAAGAAGCTTCTGGACATCGAAGGGTTATATTCTAAGGTTCGGTCAAGGTACACCTTTATTCAAGCTCTTGTTAGACGCATCCGTGGACTCCTAAGGATATCCAGGACCTAAAAGACTCTGATACATACGTGTTGCTTGCCCCTTGAAGCAGTGTGCTAGGGCAGGCCTTCTGGATCATCAGATTTTATAGATCATACATTTTCTAAATAATGTCAAAAATATTTTGTTACTTTTTTTTTTCTTATCCCTATGGATCAGTTTTGTGTATTCTTTCCTACTGCTCTCAACTTGACAAGAAAAATAAAGGATTGTTTTTAACTGAGTTATAATTAATGTAAAATTTCAAGCAAGAAAGAATGCTAATGGAGGACATAAAGGAAACAAAAGAAGTTCTGCAACTGTGATGATATCACACTTACGGATGCTTTCAGAGAAATCTGCTGTTCTCGCTTCACACGCGGGTTTAATGAAAACCTGGGGTTCGAGTCAGCACTTGCAGACTGTGATCACTCTGGTGTGGATTCTATACAAAAGGTGATCATTTTGCACCGTGAACTGCTTGTTTCTGCTCCCCCTTGGTCCGACTCTTTTCAGCTGACAGAAGTACAGGCTGCTTCTCTTTGGACATGTCTAGATAAGGAGGGGGAGGGGGGGAATAGGAGAGCCATGGAAGGTGACTGCCTTAGGTTTGGTTCTTCGGGCTTGGGGGTGTAGTCATCTGTGCTGTCCGTGCTGGACCAGGAGTATAAAGACAGAATAAAATCCACGAGGAGGAAGCCAACATGCTTGAGTGGTAGATTGGTTCTGTAGCTACCCATTGTTCTTGTGAGAGACTCGTATCTCCTTGTCTCAAAAACCCAAAACACAGACTAGCGTAACCATTGATTATTGACGTGAGATCTGTTGCATTTCTCTCTTATTACACCGTCTGATCTTAAAGCCCGAGTTTCCATGTGTGCCTTGTAAATTGTCTCCCCTGAGTTTTCATTACTTAATATTTCAAAATTTTTATGATTTTATACATATTTGGGGCCAAACTCTTCTCAGTGGTGCCCAGTGACAGGACAAGGGGCAACAGCCACAAACTGGAACACAGGAAGTTCCATCTGAACATGAGGAAAACTTCCTTACTCTGAGGGTGACAGAGCACTGGAACTGTTCTGTAATTCATCTGCACAAACTAATGACATGAATTACATCATCTTTTATGCAGGAATGTGCTAGCCTTGCTGTCAGGTGATGGTTATTAGCTATTCCATAGGAACAGCTAGCTGTTACTGGTTTATGTAGTTGGACTTTGACTGGTGACACTCAACAGGGTTTTTCTTGTAAATCCACCCTCTCAGTGGAAAAATATTGCCGTTTACAAGAATGTAACTTTGGAATTCTGCTGGCTCTGGGAAATTCACTACGTTTTAGAAAATATCATTAACGGTAACCAGCTGCTTGTTGCGTGGAATTTCGGTAACGTTTTTACCATGACTTCATCCCGTGATGTTGTTCTCTCAGCCGGAAGAGCAGTGCAGGCGCCGCTTTGGCCGCGCGCCAGCTGCTTCCGCCCCGGTGGCCGGTCCTGGCAT